TGTTCTTTAATATCTTGGTTACCTTCATGAAATACACACAATTTATCCCAAATATCTTTAGCTGATTTACAACCTTTAATCCTACTAGATTCATTTACATCTAATGCATTGTACAATATACACATGGCCTTGGCATTCAAAGAAAGGTATCTCTTGTCTTTTTCATTCAATTCTTGTCTAGTCTTTAATCTACTCAAATTAGTGGTAGAGTCAACTATTCTAGCTTCATAAGGACCATCTTCTACCACATACCATAATTCAATATAAACGGATTGTAAGAAAATCATCATTCTTTGTTTCCACATGCTAAAATGAGAACCATTAAACATAGGTGGTCTATCAATAGATTGCCCTTCTAAAAAAGAAACTTTTATGGTTGCCATGATCTTTACTCTAAGCGGTTAAGCTTGATCAAAAGAGACCAAGCTCTGATACCAATTGTAAGTGCCCGGTGCAACCCAATGAGTACAAACAAATTCACAATGATGCACAAAGATATATCAAATTTAAGCACAATAAAGAAAACTTAATTAAAGAGAAAAGATAAGAAATGCGAACCAAATATCAAACCAATAGCCTCTTCAATTGATGGCGATGCTAACCAAGATGTACAAGTGAAGGCTCACTCCTTCCTCACCCCAAACACTCTTTGGTTGAACCAAGGAGTTTTACAACTATTCTAGTTAACCCTCAACAACCTACACTTGAAAGATCACTCACCCAATTAAAAACTATTTTATACAAATGAGGCAACTTTCACCAAGGTTTTACCACTCCAAATGATAGGTTCACCTTCACCAAGGTTTTACTCCTCTTAGAGAGTAACCTTCACTTCATCAACCTCACAACCCAACTTTCCCAACCCCTTATACAACCAACAAAAAATCTTTCTATTCAAAAATCTCACTTGTAAGTTTGTATTTTGTGTTGGCAAAAGTCTCTTGTCTTCTTGTGCTTTGGGGTGTTTATAGAAGGTGAGAAATGGCTCCAAAAGGCTCTCCAACGGTCAAATATTAAATGCTGTCAAAACTAGCCGTTGGCCTGTCGGACGTCCGAACCCTGCGTCCAAACCACCTGTCGGACGTCCGAACCCTGCGTCCAAACGTCGTCAGAGAGTCATCAAATCTTTGCGAAATTTCTCGGACGTCCGATGCTATCGAGGTGCGTCCGAGGCGTGCGTCCGTTGATGTTCTTCATCCTTTCGGACGTCCGTTATGAGTGCCCTATTTTTGCTTCTTCTTTTGTGCCCCAAGAATCTGTTCTAACAAATTGCTCACATAAAAATATTAGCCCAAATCTACATTTTGGTTTGTTAAACATCAAAACCAAGGATTGATCGACCAAGATCAACACTTTACTAAGTAGGTTTCTCCTCACATTGACTCAAAGTTGAAGTGATCGAAAAGCAAATATCACGCAATTATAGAAATGCTGAAAGAAATTGGCTGCAAATGGAATGATGTTGAACAAAAAATACAGTGTGAGAGATAGTGGTATGATGATTGGATCAAGGTAACAATGTTGATTCATATTTCTAATATGTTTGCAAGTTTTCACTTCTTTTTGTTAATGTTTGAAATTAGTTTTGACAATAGATTATGAACATCTGTAGAAACACAGAGAGGCAAAAGATACTTAGGACTTAAGTTTTTCTTATTTGAATGATCTAGAAATTGTATATGAAAGGATAGAACTATCGGTTTACAACATGGAAGTAGAAGAGGTAGAGGGTGGAAATACCCATGCAATAGATGAAACTAATGAAGTTGTAGAAGAAAATTCAGCCACACAAACTACTCATACAAATGCAACAAGCACAAGCATCTCACGAAAATAGAAACAACAAGCACCAACAACTGGAAAAGAGCCAAAAAAATGAAGTCTACCCATGCCCAAGCACCATCTCTTGAAGCACAATTTGCAAAGGCTACTAAGTAATTTACTTCATGTGTGGCTAGTCTTACTAGCCATTTTGCTATTATCGCGAATGCAATGGCAAATAAAGACGCTCGTGAGCAACTAGCATCTACTAGAGAAGAGCACAATTGTGGAAAAAACTTTACAAACTTGGGCTCCATACCCCTGATGTTTTCAAAGCTACTGATATCCTTTCTAATGAATAAGCCAAGCTGAATATATTTTCTCAACTTCCAGTTGATGCAAAGTATCCATACATAATTAACCTTCTTTATCCTCCTAACTATAAAAAATCAACCATTGCATCTAGTTTTTTTGTCTATTAAAGACTACTACCATCATGGAATGGTATTTTGTGATAGTTTTAAACTTTTTGGATTTGGAAGTTATTATACTACTTTGGCATATGTTGATCAAAATGCTAACTTGGCTAGTACCATCACTAGACTTTTTTGTATTATTGTAGATGGTCTTTATGTATTATAAAAGACTTGATTCTGGCTAGAAATGTATTATATTAATGATAGCAGTATTAATTTTATGTACAAATTTTATTTTGTTTATGTTGGATAAAACTGCCTAACTATAGGTAAATCGGCTTAGGTTCAATCCGGCCATGAATTGAATAGCAAATCTGGCCATGTATTCTAAGTATCCGTTTAATACAAGCATGAATCCGTTTCATATAAGTCTGGATTAGCTAGGAACTCGGTTCGAATTTGAGTTAAGTCTTGGTAACCGTGTTCGGATTTAAGTTAATCGTGGTCCGGATTTGTCCGGATTTGACTAACACCATCAACCTCTTCCTCCACTTGAATGCAATGAACAAGCGTCCAAGCAAGGGAGGTATATTAAATTATCCCAAAACTTTTTATTTATTCACAGGAAAATAGTTGTTGAATTGGACTTGTATTCCCATTGATGACTATGAATAAATGATAAGTAATAATTTGTGCTAAATTTATAATTATTTTTCCCTTTGATTTTAGCCAAATATTATCTTAATTGATATATTCTACTAATATTTGGTATTTGGGATTAATTGCAGGAAGTGGTGAAGAAAAAGTACTGAAAATCGTCATTCCAGCAGATTCCCTGATAGTTTGGCGTGCCCACGCCTAACTCCAGCTTTCAAGGATGGATTTTCGGGATGATTTGCACACGTGAAAGCTTCCAAAACTAAATAAAGCAGCGGACTACAATGCTGAAAAGCAGTGGGGCCATTTCAAAAGCTGAAAAAAGCTATCTATAATAGGATTCCTATTGTTTAGGAAAATTGGTACTCGGGTACCAATTTTGAAGGAGAGAAATCAGGATGGGAATCTGTTTGTTCTCTCGGTGGGCCTGGCCTAAAAGGAAATGGATTTCCTTCATCCCTTTGAGTGGCTAAAAACGTAGAGGATTAGGAGACTTGGGGAGGCTTGTCTTTAAAATTGTTTTTACTTGGAAAAGCTGGGGGGAAGGTACGGAGGTCGGGGACTTTTCCTCCGTAGCTGACTTTTACTTTTTTTCCTTGGCCGATTTGGCCAGGAACAATTTGGTAAGATTCAGATAGCTTTTTCGCATGGTTGTTCTCCATTAATGGAGAACTAACCTTCTAATTCTAGTCAAGGGACAACTGAAGATTTGGTTCTGCAATTACTGTGAGATCGAATTTATTTTAATCGCTTTCTCATTTATTGGTATTTATATGATTCCTGCTTTTAATTGTTATAACTCTTGTGTATGATTGATTAGTGCGCAATAATTAATTATTCATATAAGTTATTTTGCTAAATAGGGGTAATTAAATCCGTAATTGTTCGTTACCTCTATCCCAGTAGCAACTGGCGTAATTGGGTTTATGTCAGGAAAACATACAATTTAATTTAAACAAACCCTCTTAGCGTGTTTGTTAGTTAGGATTGGGCCTTTCTAATTTTTAATGCAATCTAGAAATTAAATCTTACGGTCGTACTTAGGATTGTTTTTGGGTTAGGGAAATAGTTAACGGTCGTACCTTGACTAACGATAATTTAAGGAAGGGTTGATTGTTTATCGCGTGTATGACAACTATAACCAATCTATTAATAGCTGTGGAATTATTTGTGAATCGATGATCAGTGCATGAACCATTTCTGAAGTGTACCCTTGGCTAGAGTTTCTTTTAATTATTTCTCTTAATCAATTATTTTCTGCAGTTAATTTATTTAGTTAGTATTTGATCCAAAAACCCCCCATACTTTGGACTCTAGAAGAAACGAATTATCCTCAATCCCTGTGGATTCGACCCTAGTCACCACTATATACAAAATCTGTATTTTTCTCGAGTAGGTTTTTATTATTGCACAGGTTCGGCACCTGTCAATTTTTGGCGCCGCTGCCGGGGACTGGAATCTAATTTATTTGTTTCTTTTTTAATTCAGTTTTTTTTATTATTTTTTTTAATTATTATTATTATATTTTTTTCCTTTATTTTTCTCTTGGTATTTTTGCTAGTTTATGCCCCGTTCGTCTCGCACAGGTGAGTTGGTATACGATCCTGAGGTTGAGAAGGCAGCGCGTAGGCGAAAGCAAAAGACCAAGAGACGAAAAGAAGGACACTTATTTTCTGCAAACGAGTCAATAGAAGACGAATTTAGCATGGCCAACACCCAGACATTGAGGGAGCTGGCTACCCCAGAGCTGACTCATCAGCCCTTGTGCATCACGTTCCCAACTCTGGCTGAAAATACCTCATTCGAGCTGAAATCGGGGTTGATTCACCTCCTACCTTCGTTCCATGGTCTTTCTGGTGAAGAACCCCACAAACATGTCAAGGAGTTTGAAATAGTTTGCTCTAGCATGAAACCTCTTGGGGTCACTGAAGAGCAAATAAGACTTAGAGTTTTCCCTTTCTCTCTCATGGATGCAGCGAAGGATTGGCTATACTACCTACCTGCAGGTAGTATCACCACGTGAGCACAATTAAAAAAGAAATTCCTGAAAAAATTCTTCCCCGCATCCCGGACTGCGAGTTTGAGAAAGGAAATATGCAGCATCAAGCAGTACTCCGGAGAGTCATTGTACGATTATTGGGAAAGATTCAATAAGTTGTGCATTAGATGCCACAGCATCAGATTAGTGAACAACTGTTGATCCAGTACTTCTATGAGGGGCTCCAGTCAACTGACAGGAGTATTATTGACGCTGCGAGTGGAGGAGCCCTGGCGAACAAGACACCGAGGGAAGCGTGGGAGCTTATTGAAGCCATGGCAGAGAACTCTCAGCAGTTCGGCTTCCGTGAGAGCAATCCTACCCGTAGAGTCAATGAGGTAGAGACGTCATCCATCCAACAGCAACTGTCAGAGTTGACGTCTGCTGTCAGGCAATTGGCCATGAGAGACACGCCGCGGGCGAAAGTATGTGGAATCTGCACGAGTATGGACCACTGTACGGATACGTGCCCCATTCTGCAAGAGTACGGGGCAGAACAGGTAAATATGGCCGGAGGCGTGCCCGCGCCCCGCAGGCAGTATGACCCGTATTCCAACACGTACAACCCGGGCTGGAGGGACCATCCCAATCTCAGTTATGGGAACAGGCAACAAAGTTCATTCCCGAATCGTCCACCAGGATTCCACTAGCCTTGGCAACCAAAATCTCAACCCTCATCCTCCAATTCAGGAAACTCCTTGAAGAACCTAGTCAAAAGCCTGGCCACGACTACTACTCAGTTTCAACAGGAGATCAGATCCTTGGCAGCAAATACCGCGCAGCTCCAACAGGACACCAAAGCGGACAAGAAGGACCAAGAAACTCGAATAAGCCAACTGGCAACTGCCATTAACCGCTTGGAGTCCCACGTTTATGGAAAACTGCCATCGCAACCCGAGGTAAATCCTAAGAATATAAGTGCCATGACGCTGAGGAGTGGCAAGGAACTGGAAGGGCCTAAAGTGAAAAATTCAAAAAGCAAAAGTGAGGAGGAGATAGAAAGGGAAATTGAGGAGGAAGGACGTGTTCGTGAGGATTCTAAGGTAACCTCCACCTCTCCACTCACTACTAACTCTAACTTACCCCTTTTTCCTTGCAGGTTGGAAAAGACAAAGAAGGTAGAGAAGGAAAAAGAGCTCTTGGATGTGTTTCGAAAAATGGAGATCAACATTCCCCTGTTGGATGCAATCAAACAGATACTGAAATATGCCAAGTTTTTAAAAGATTTGTGCACCCACAAAAGGAAGCTAAGGGGGGACGAAAGAGTAGCGGTGGGAGAAAACGTGTCAGCTATACTCCAAAGGAAACTCCCACCGAAATGTGGAGGCCCAGGTATGTTCACCATTCCCTGCAAGATAGGAGGTACCCCAATTAGCAAATCAATGTTGGATTTGGGGGCGTCAATTAATGTTATGCCTAAGATAATCTATGCTTCTCTTAATTTTGGTCCATTAAAAGGCACAGGCATTATAATCCAACTTGCAGACCGTACCAATGCTTATCCAGAGGGGTTAGTTGAAGATATTTTGGTACAGGTCAATGAGTTAGTTTTTCCTGCAGATTTCTATGTCTTAGATATGGGAGATGAAAAGGCATTAAATCCATCACCTATTTTGCTACGTAGACCATTTTTAAGCACTGTTAGGACAAAAATAGATATGAATGAGGGTACTTTGTCGATGGAGTTTGATGGTGAAATTGTAAATTTCAATATCTTTGATGCGATGAAATACCCAGATGAGACTAACTCTGTTTTTGCTTTGAGCATTATTGAATCTCTTGTACAGGACACATTTGAATTAAATGGGGGCGATGCACTGGAAGTGGCATTGGCCAAACATCTTGAGTTGGGAGCAACTCTTGATGTAGAAATAAGTGATGAGCTATACCATGCAGTTGAAGCACTGCGTTCGCTCCCACCACTCTCCCCAAGGTATGAGCTCACTTCTCTCTTTGTACCAGAAACTCAGGCAAAATTGTTGCCTTCTATTGTGCAGGCGCCTGAATTGGAACTCAAGCCCCTCCCAAAGCATTTGAAGTATGCTTTTCTCGGGTACAAGGAGACACTGCCAGTTATCATATCTGCACACCTGTCACCAAGGCAAGAAGACAACCTAATTCGTCTTCTTCGAGATCATAAGGAGGCAATTGGGTGGAGCATAGCAGACATCAAGGGAATTAGCCCCTCTTTATGCATGCATCGGATCCGTCTTGAGGAGGAGGCAAAACCAGTCAGGCAGGCGCAACGGAGATTGAACCCACTGATGATGGAAGTAGTAAAGAAGGAAATACTTAAACTCCTGGAAGTGGGGATCATCTTCGCCATCTCAGACAGTCCATGAGTGAGCCCAGTGCAAGTAGTCCCGAAAAAGACTGGAGTAACCGTAGAAGAGAATCAAGAGCGCGAGATAGTCACGGTGAGGAAGCCCACAGGATGGCGTCAGTGCATTGATTACCGGCGTCTGAATGCTGTGACAAAGAAGGACCACTTTCCCCTCCCGTTTATTGATCAGATGTTAGAAAGGTTAGTTGGTCGCGTTTATTACTGCTTTCTTGACGATTTTTCAGGTTATTTCCAGATCGCAATAGCACCGGAGAACCAGGAGAAAACTACCTTCACCTGCCCTTTTGGTACATTTGCGTACCGAAGGATGCCTTTCGGCCTCTGCAATGCTCCAACTACTTTTCAGAGGTGTATGGTAAGTATATTTTCTGAGTATGTAGAAAAGATTATTGAGGTGTTTATGGTTGATTTTAGTGTGTATGGGGATAGTTTTGATGAATGCCTGAATAATCTAGTTTTAATTTTGAAGAGATGCATTGAGACAAATTTAGTTCTAAATTGGAAAAAATGTCATTTCATGGTGGATCATGGCATTGTTTTAGGGCATGTAGTTTCGGCCAGGGGTATAGAAGTGGATAAAGCAAAGGTCGATATTATTTCTGTTTTGCCTTACCCCGTAAGTGTACGGGAGGTACGTTCCTTTTTGGGTTAATGCAGAATTCTACAGGAGATTCATAAAAGATTTCTCAAAAATTGGAGCGCCCCTGATCAAACTGTTGCAGAAGGATGTGGCATTTGACTTCACCGAAGAGTGCAAGGTGGCATTTGACAGGTTGAGGGAGTCATTGACATCACCACCTATTATCCAACCTCTAGACTGGAGCCTCCCATTTGAGATAATGTGTGACGCGAGTGATTATGCAGTGGGAGCGGTGCTGGGGCAACGGATTGGTAGAGCTGCACATGCAATCTACTATGCATCAAAGGCGTTGAATGGAGCTCAGCTCAACTACTCTACAACAGAAAAAGAATTGCTAGCTGTGGTTTTTGCATTAGAAAAATTTAGACCTTATTTGTTAGGTGCAAAAATAATAGTTTTTTCTGATCATGCAGCCTTGAGATACTTGATGACGAAGAAGGATGCTAAACCAAGACTCATCAGATGGATCCTGCTCCTTCAGGAGTTCAACTTGGAGATTAAGGATAAAAGTCGGGCAGAAAACTTAGTCGCTGATCACTTGAGCCGCTTGCTTGCTCATAAGGAGGAGCCACCATTGAGGGAGGCATTTCCAGAGGAGCAACTACTTGCCATTAACTCGTCTACACCCTGGTATGCTGATGTAGTAAATTTCTTGGTGACTAATCAATTGCCTGCAAGGTAGCCAAAGGCTAAGAGAGACAAGTTGAAGAGTGATGCCAAATACTACATTTGGGACGACCCCTACCTTTGGAGACAATGTTCGGATCAAGTGCTAAGGAGATGTGTAAGTGCAGGTGAATTTCACTCCATTTTAAATTTCTGTCATTCGTTTGCATGTGGGGGGCATTTTGAGCCCAAGCGAACAGCTCGCAAAGTGTTAGAGAGTGGCTTTTACTGGCCTACCCTTTTTAAAAATTCGTATTTATTTTGCAAATCCTGTGATAGGTGTCAAAGGGTGGGAAATTTTTTTCGTAGGGACCAAATGCTTCAAACCCCCGTGTTATTTGTTGAAATTTTTTATGTTTGGGGGATAGATTTTATGGGTCCTTTTCCCTCATCTTTTGGTTTCCTATACATTCTACTTGCGGTTGATTATGTTTCTAAATGGGTGGAGGCCAAGGCCACCCGTACTAATAATTCTAGAGTGGTTGCAGAGTTCTCAAAATCGAATATCTTTGTCCGTTTTGGAATGTCAAGAGCTGTGGTAAGTGATAGGGGGACACATTTTTGTAATAAGACTATCACTGCCCTGTTCCGAAAATATGGCGTGCTCCACAAGCTATCCACTCCGTATCACCCGCAGGCGAACGGTCAAGCCGAAGTGTCAAACAGGGAAATCAAGTCGATCTTGGAGAAGATGGTGTGCGTCCGGATAGGAAGGATTGAAGTTTAAAGGTAGAAGACGCACTATGGGCGTACAGAACCGCGTATAAGACGTCGATTGGGATGTTTCCGTATAGACTTGTCTTCGGTAAGGCTTGTTATCTTCCCGTGGAGTTCGAACACAAGGCGTTTTGGGCAGTGAAGCAGTGTAATATAGGATTAGACAAAGCAGGGGTCCAAAGGAAATTGCAGCTACAAGAGTTAGAGGAGATAAGAAATGAAACGTACGAGAATGCCACGATCTATATAGGAAAAGAGTAAAATCTTTCATGATCAGCAGGTTTCTAGAAAATCTTTTGTAGTGGGACAAAAAGTCCTCTTGTATCACTCGAGGCTTAAATTTTTTCCCGGTAAGTTGCGTTCTCGTTGGATTGGTCCATTTGTCGTTTCTAATGTGTTTCATTATGGTGCAGTGGAGATCCAAAGTTTAAAAATAGAGAAAAGGTTCGTGGTGAATGGCCATCGTCTCAAGCCTTATTATGAGGGATTCGCTGTTGAGGAAGTAGAAGTTGTACACCTCCAAGATCCACTTTATCTTGTTTGAGGGTTTTGGCCATGTCTAGCCAAAGACATTAAAGAAAGGCGCTACTTGGAAGGCAACCCAAGACTATTTGTTTCAGTTTTCATACATTTTTTTTTAGTTTTAGTTAAGTGTTAGTGTCAATTAATAGTTTGATGTTTGGTGACAGGAAATTGACAGTTGAGCGTGCCCACGCCAGGTGGTCACGCCTGACGGAACTCAATTTTCGAGAATTGATCTGAGGACTCTATAGCAGTTGAGCGTGCCCACGCTAGGTGGGCACGCTAAAGAATCAAAAATTTTCGACGGATGGTCAAATGACTAAGGGCAGTTAGGCGTGCCCACGCCTAAGCCAGAGGTTCCTTGAAAAAAAAAATTTTTGAAAAGACCAAATTGCCCCTGAACGACAAAAGGAAGAAAGGAAAAAAATTTTTCAAGGACCCGTAGCCCTACTTCCCTTCTTTCTTTCTTTTTCTTTTTCTTACTTCTTCTTTCTTCTTCCTCTTCTTTCTTTTTCTCCTTTTTCTTCCTTCTTTTCTCCTTGTCCGCCGCCGCTACTCTGCACGCCGCCAGATCCGCCGCCACCAGCTCCTGCTCGCGAAAGCCCAGCCGCAACCAGCAGCAGCCGCGGGCTTTTTCTAGCCCACCGCCCGCGAATCTTCGCGCACGCCTTCTCGGCGCGGCAGCAGCGAACCGCATATCCCTCGCGCGTTTCAATCCAGCAACCACCAGGCGCGGCCTCCTTCTCCGCGCAGTCAAGCCCGGAGGCGATCCTCCTCGCGTGAGCTAGAAGCTCGCACTCAGCCGCAGCAGTCCAGCAGCAGCTGAGCACGGCGCGCAGTCATCCACCAGCGCGCGACGCCCTCTCCTCCACGGCGTATGCCAGCAGCGCGCAAGAAAGCCTAGGCGCGAGCCATCCGCGCGCCCCGCCTGCAGCCCGGACCAGCAACAGAGAGCAGCAACTCAGCCGCAGCAGCGTCCACAGCGCGCGACCTCCGCGTGCTTGCCAGCGCGCGTGCGATGCGCGCGCGGTGCTAGGTCCTCCCCTGCCCTCCATTTCACCCACGACCAGTCAAACACTCCGGTGACGTCTTATTTAATTTTCTATCATTAATTAGCTGATGCCAGATTTTAATTTCTTAGCTGAGACCAGATTTCTTTTAATTTGCTAGCTGAGGACAGATTTTTAAATTATTAGCTGATGACAGCTATTTTGTGGTTGATTTGAGTGCTGTGATATCATCTGTGGTTGGTTGACGAGCATTTGTCCAATTTTGGGGTAGCATCTGATGTAATTTGAGAAATTTTTGTTGTTTCCATGATTAATTAGTTTTTGGGTGAAGTTTTTATGTGTTTATCAACTTAATTGATTTTTGGGCTGTTTAGTTTCTATTTGTTCGATTGTTGGTGTTTGGAGCTATATTTGGGGACCCCTTGCTTTGTTGATTAACCACCGCTCCATTTTACCCAATTTCACCTTGTCTTTGCCCTTTTTTCTAATCCCCAATGACCAAACCCAAAACCAAAGGCAAGAACAAACCTTTCACTTCCACCCCTCAGCCTACGGTCCCCTTAAGGGGACCTGCCCCCTCGACTGGGCCGGGAGGACCCCGGACCCGTCTTGGACGGAATAGGAAGGTTCATATCTCCTCTCCGGTCCACTTTGGCGGCAATTTGACCTTCACCCGGGCTGCCGACAAGGAGCGGTATGCCTCGACTTGCACACAGAAGATAATTCCTTGTAACTACATCCATGGCCCTACACTTGATATGCTAAACCTGAGGGATGAGGTCACGTAGCACTTGACTAACGAAGGCTGGACCCGCTATGCTTCTATCAATCTACCTGCTTTTACTGAACTCACGTGTGAATTCCATGCTACTTTTGAATTTAATATTCCTGATGAATTCTCCGTTACCACTCCTGGGGTAGTGAGGTTTCGATTAGTGGGTAGAGAGTTCAACCAATCTATCACTAAGTTTAATTTGGCTCTTGGGTTTATTGATATATCCTACTCCCAGAGTGAGGAGTATATGCACAGTGTGTGCGAGTACACGGAGCCATTTTTCTCTCATTACATTGGTTATTGGAGAGATTTGTCGGTTGACCGACACAACTATGACCCCAGTCAGTCTAAGACTTCTTATCTTAAGAGCGCCGCCTACCGTTATTTACATAGATTCATGGCCTATAGTTTCTCAGGTAGGAAGGATAGTTCGGGTACTTTGACCAAACCCGAGTTCTTTTTCATTTGGTGCACGGTTACTCGGAATAAGATCAATTTGGGTAGCTGGTTTGCCCTCCACCTCCGCACTGTGCTAAATAAGAAAAATAAGCCATTAATTTTAGGCTCATTTATCACTCAATTGGCAGTAAATCTTGGGGTTTTGGACTTGAATAATCATAATTTGCATCGTGCTTGTACCATGGAACCCCTCGATTTGGTTTGTTTGG